TGGGATAGGGGTGCCCGTTGCATCAAAACACACCCTGGAGGTCGGTTTCCTGTTTACGTGTGTGGCCACACGCTGTGACCGACCGAGGGCGGGGGGTGGCTGCTGGCACCTTTATTCCGCAGAGCTGAGCAGACGCTCACTTCTGGTAGAGTCAAGACTTAAGGAAAGTAATGAATTTAAAGTAACTGTGTTGGTAATTTCTGTGCAGTCCGTCCGGACTTGCAAAGGCGGAATTGTTACATGATTATCGTACAATCACAGAATAGTTTGGGTTAGAAGGGACCTTAAAGTGCATCCAGTTCCAACCCCTCCTGCCCTGGGCAGGGACACTTTCCACTAGACCATGTTGCTCCAAGCCCCGTCCAACCTCGCCTTGAACACTGCCAGGGATAGGGCAGCCACAGCTTCTCTGGGCAACCTGTGCCAGTGCCTCACCACCCTCACAGGGAAGAGCTTCTTCCTTATATCTAAGCTAAATTCTAAATCTCCCCTCTGCCAGTTTAAAGCCATTCCCCCTTGTCATATCTCTACATGCCCTTCTAAAAGGTCCCTCTCCAGATTATTTGTAGGCTCCCTTTAGTCACTGGAAGCTGCTTTAACATGTACCCTGAGCCTTCTCCAGCCTGAACAAGCCCAACTCTCTCAACCTGTCTCTGTAGAAGAGGTGCTCCAGCCCTCTGAACATCTTGATGGCCCTCCTCCATACTCACTCCAGCAGGTCCACATCCCTCTTGTGTTGGGGACCCAAGCTGGAAACAATACTGCAGGTGGGGTCTCAGGAGAGCAGAGTAGAGGGAGAACCACCTTCCTTGACCTGCTGGTCACACTCCTTTTGAATCAGTCCAGGATATTGTTGGTTTTCTGTGTTGCAAGTGCACATTATTTCATTCTCTGGCTTTTTCTTTTTCCTTTTTTTTTTTTTTTATTTTTTTCCTGCAGGTTGGGAATGGGTTAAGTGGGATGAATTTCCTCCAGCAGATCAGCTGTTCTGGGCCTTACGCTGTTTAAGAGAGCAAGGTTACAATCCCTTTACAGAAGAGCTTGATCATCTGAAGGGGTACACAGGAAGTCACCAACTGGGGTAAAAAATAATGGCACATGATGTAACAAGCCAAATGAAAGACATGCTTTTTGGTGTAAAAGAGAAAAGGATACCCCATGTTCTCTCTGCCCATGTGAATATACCACCCTTTCCAAAGCCAAAAGGATGCCAGATGTTTCAGTGCTTTGACTGTATTTCATGTGACAGTTGCCTCTCATTCCACAGCTATTTCTAGCTGTTGTGGTTAACAGTGACTGTTTTCTTTTATATAAATCTCAGAGTGTTTTATCTGGTTAATCTTTATATGGAAGAGCAGCAGAAGTCAGAGCAGAAGTTAGAGAAACATACTCCCTTGGTAACAGTTGTAGCATCAGGCTCAAGAGGAACTTTTTTTAAGACAGTGTCCTGCTATGTAAAACTTCTTTGTGTATCATGCTGCTTTCCTTGTAATTGTAAATAATTAATTATAAATCTTGGACAAATTTTTAAACTTAGCCTTGTCTTGTAGCTTCAGTTAAGATACTGTCATGAACAGAAGTCACGTTCTACAGACAATGCCTCATTCTGCAGACAGTATATACTTGAAAGAGTACTACAAACATGAAAAGGATTGTCAATATTAATGATGAAAGGTTTATTGCAGGGGGTGAAGATTCCCCTGTCCTTCTTGCCACCCTCTTTCCTTACAGGGTTCTGTTTGCAGCCTCAGTTACATTAAAATTTACCTGAAGAAGTGTTCCAGATCTCTACAGTTGATCTTAATTCCTGATCAGGTTACTAAACTCTTAATAGTTCAATTGGAACTATTAGAACTGGAGAGGTGCCTAAAGTGTTCTGCTAGGCTGAACACAAATAAGCTGACACAAATACCATCACACAAACCAATCTTGATTGATAGGTGTAGCTCTACAGTAGACAGCCATACTTTGGGGCTAAAGAGGGTTGTAGATTCTAAACAGCACAGTCAGCATAATTCTGTATGGCGGCTGGATTTGATAGAATTGTTCATTTTCAGTTTGATGTGATGAAATGATTGAACACAGGCAATGAAATCATGACATACAAAAATTTGTGCAAAACCAATGAGTTTATATTTTTAATTTTTCCAGGATCTGTAACCAGATGTGATTCTTTTCCTGCTGTAGTTCATTAGAACATCAGCAATTCATTTCAGGATATGACTTTTTAAAAAAATCACTAATTGCCTCATTTTTTTCTCTTTGGGCTTCTTTTAAAACACAGGTTTTGTCTGTTTCCAACTGTTGCACAAAATGTTCTGAGATAACTTTAGTTTCTTTTGAATAAAACATAAGCACAATATTTAAAGATTAAAATTGTCTAAAATTATGAATTGACTTGTCAGTTCTTAAAATAAATGAGCTTGAATGGTTTAGAGCTCAGAGATGGCTCTTTTTCCTGAGAAGCAGAGTGATATGAGGTGTAAGAATGCTGCTTAATTATTGCAAGCCTCCTTGCTTAGAATGTGAAGTATTAACTACATGCTACTTAGGACATATTCTTTCTCTGAAGTGAATAAAGAAGATAATGTTATAAAGCAGTTTTGAAATGGGGAATATCACTGAAAATTCCTTTACCGCTGTATCTTTGTAGAAAGCTTATTTTTTTCTATTCAAAAGTGGAGGTTTTCTTCTTGAAAGCAACTTTATGTACACTGAAAATTATTCCATTCAGCTGTCAACAAAGAGGCTGTAGGAAGAGCTGACAGATGTCATGCCCATCTGTCTCAAAGACTAAACAGGAAAAAAAAAAATTACCATTATTTAATATGATCTAGTGCAATTTTAAATTTTAGAAGGCATTTGGCTCCTGATGGGGAAACAGGGGTCACTGTAGAATGGTTTGTCATACAATAAATATTTTGATACCATTAATGGTTATATTCATTCTATCTGTTGTAAGTACACAAGCAATTACTGAAATGAGGACACAAACAGTATCACCATATGTCAGGGCTTTTGCATCCTTTCTAAGTGGACTGATGAAACTACTACAGTGCACTACTGCAACCAGCTGTCAGCAATCCCTAACTTAAGTAACTTGGTTTGTATGTATCATGCATTTGTACTTTTTTTTTCCCCAGGAATTTTGATTCTCAATAATTTTTTTGCTGCTAAGGCTCAGTGTTCTCAACTAAATGTTATGTTTACTTTGATTTTTGGTACATTTGCTAAACAGTAAAATCTGTTGGGTACACATTTAAGCCACTTAATAAGAGAACACAAATATGGTTTGCTTAACTTACTGTAATAGACAAAATTCACCTAAAATAGCATTATAGTTATCCAGTATTGAGAAAAATACTCCTGAACAGCATATGGTTTGGAGCACTGATGGAAAGAAACTCATTAGGATGTATCTTATACCCAGAGTCTGATTTTATGCTAAGTGAACTGTGTGCAGAGTTGTTGTCTTACCTGTTTCTTAGATGTAACACCACACTGGTCCCATTTGGTCCCTTTTAATCCTTCAAGACTAACAAGCAACCCAGGAGAAAAAAAAAAAAGTGTTCATTGCTTCTGTTCATCCTTATGTCTGGAAACAATCGCCCACCTCCACAGTGAATCACACGATAAAGCCATGTAAGAGTTTTGGGTAGACTGTACATTACACTTCCCATCACTATTAATTATCTCTATTTGTATTTCATGCCAAGAAATGTATGTTCTTACAAATGAGAAGACAAGAGACTAGTGACCTGTGGCTGTGTCGTAAGATGTGTTGAGAGAGGGGCATTTAGGGAAGAAAATACTAATCCCACGGTACAAAGCATTGAGATGCTGAATTTTGCAATATTGTGTATGATTCTGGTCACGCATGTTTAAGAAAAAACAATGTGAACTAGAACAGGGGTAACCAAGATTAACTAGAATGATTGACATGGGGCAGGTGTATTTGAGTTAACATGAATTAAAAATTCATCTTAATATAGTCCTCTTACGAAGACATTGGGGATAAACTCCAAAGAAGAAAAACAGGATACTAAACAAAAGTCAAAATATATATTTATATGAAAAACTTCAGACTGCAGAATAGAAGTGAAATTTTAGTAACTCTAAAAATACTTCCAAAAGGAACAGCTGAGACAAAACCAAATTCCCAATTTCTCTTAAAGACAAAAATGCACTGCCCCATATGCAACTGAACCTGATGTCCTTTTCATGTCTACATCCTTACAGGATTTGTATGTCTGTTGATCATATGTGGCAGCATTACTGACAGCAATACTTGGAAGATTCTCCGAACAAACAATGAAGTACCTGATTTATCAGATACTTCCTGTGAGAAATCTACAAAATGGCAGTGTGGAGTAAATTTGTGATCTGTCCTTCAGGAAGCCTCACTGCAGGGCAGAAACCTGTAACTGCCATGAGCAACAGTTCACATTAGTTTCTGATCTGATCAGAGGTTTACTTAAGAGGAAAGTAGCCATTGTAAAATAACTCCTTCAGCGAAACAGACCAGGGAAAGCAAAGCCAAGTGCCTTTGGAAAGATGAAAGAACATTGTAGCTGAGGCAGGAAATGCAACTGCTGAAGTAAACAAATCAGCAGGTTCAAAGAACTGAAAAATTATAGACAAGAATCTATGAGTACTTTGAACTGGAAGGAGCTGAACCTGCAGTGTGCCCCAAGCATGTCATCTCCAGGGGCCCAGGATGCTTAACCAGAAGCCTTGCAAATGGATGGGCAGTCCACATGGCTGCCTCAGGGTCTGCCCAGTTATGCATGTACCTGGCAAAGCTCAGCTGAAAAGTGCAGGCTCTCAGTTCGTGACTCCTCAGCTGCTTCTAATACTGACTTGGCATTTTGCAAAGGGGAAAAATGAGTACAAGCTTCTGAAACTCCAGAATTCAACCACATACTGGGATAAAATGTGATGAGTACTGAAGTTACACAGTAACTCATTCAAGATTTAAGTCTGCAAAAAGAAACGAGAAGTTAGATCAAAGCTAAGTTTATTTATGACATATCATTATATATTACAATAATTACAAACTTTTTTCCTTACACCTTATTCCCATGTTTTTGTTCTTGGCTCAAAAACATGGATTTAGGCAGTGACAAAAAAAAAAAAAAGGTATTAAAATTATAAATGTCATGTCTCATTTCTGTGCCATAGAAAAGGCTATCATCAAAAGAGTAAAGTTACTAACGTACATGGGGATTCCCCTTACACCTTTTTTCCCAGGAACTTTTGTCATCTAATGTATAGTAAACATATATATATACACACCATGTCTCTTGCAAACATACACATTCACACATTTACATAATCGCTGGAAATGTGACATCTCTCCTCCAGCAGAAAGCTCCCAGTCATTTTACTTGAATATCTAATGCAAAAAAATATTCTAAAAAGTCCATGATTTATAAATTAGTCACCCTATTTCTGAGCCAGCTGTTATCTTCTCCCTACACAGGGCCACCAGTGTAATAAAAGGATATTGTGTCTTATGATGAACAGCACCCAACCTACCTTTACCACAGGAAAGGTCTACTAGGGATACTGTCCCTCTTGTACCTAGTCTGAGTCACTACTGCTGCTTGAGGAGTCTGTTGACATAACTTCTACATCATCTTCATTCTCTTTATTGTGTCCTGGAGGCTCCAACATGAAGTCATTACTATGATTAGGAGGTAGCATGTTCATTGACATATCACTTGACTGCCAAGGATACTGAGGAGCCAGCACATCTGGAAAAAAAAGGGGCCTTATCAAACAATCAGCTTTGTATATCAACAAATGCAACAAGACAGCCCAGCCAGAACTCCAGTTTAAAATTCATCTTAAAATCCTTCCTGAATTCTGGACAGTTGAAACCCTCCATCACTGTAAAAGCCTACGCTGCCTGAGAGGCCCATTTATGTAGATGGCTCTTGACCTCTCATCACTCCTCTTCAAAACAGTATATATGCATACAGAGCTTTTCACCTTCAAAGCACAGTTTGAACTGCCTTAACGCTCACAACCACTGGCAGTAATGAAAATGATCACCCTCTGTCAGTATGCAATAGATGAAAATATTAGATTAAAAAAAAACCTAAAACCTTAAGCTAGACTAGAAATTCAAAATAAAAGGTTTTATCCAAATTTCACTGAAAATACCTTGGTTATCATTTTTCCAACAGCAAATATGGCATACCAAGAGCAAAGGAGATGAGGGTCCTACTACAAAACCAGGGCCACAGAGATACTTGAAGTGGGAATGCCCCACTGTGCCCCAGCGAGGCCAGCTTCAGTTACCTCTGACTTCTCTCCCCTCTGGCTGTTTCTTCTCTTCTACAACTTGCAAAATCATTACACACTGTACTCCCTACCAACCCACCCTCCTCCCACACTTCTTAGTCTCTTCCTTCCTTGCCCCCCACAAACAGTTCCCATTTCAAAGCTGCACTATGCATCTATATGCCATTTCTTCTCCCTTCTTTTTAGTTTATGCTCCTACTGCTGTGCTTCTTTTCCACTTACTACCAGGCACCACAGCTAAGACTATCCCATAGAAGAAACCAGCTATCTCCACTTACATCAAGAATTAAAAATAATTAGGTAGTCAGAAGTGAACAAAAACCCATACACATGTTACTTTGAGTACAGAAAAACAGTGCACTCTCTAAGCAGGGGGGTCATCTATGGGTGATGTATTCTCACTCAGGTGCTATCTAACTCAGAAGTCTCCACACACATAGTAGCTTCTGATCTTCAAGTTCTCCACGTATGAACTACAGTTACAGTTCCCTAATACCAGATGCATTACCTACCTGTACAAATCTGACCCACCAGCAGATACCACAGCAGAATGCAGCCTTTGTGCTAGTTCTGTGACAGCTTTAGGAAGGCCAACAACAGTACAAGGTGGTCTCATACCACCTTTGGTGAAGTTAAACAACTTTATTTGAACCAGCTGAGAATAAAAGCCAGTGTTCTACATTCTGTGGCCATACTTCAATGCTGGAACCAGTCCATTATTAAACCAGGCTGAATGTATGTGCTAAGCAGCCTCCAAGTTTTCAGGCTACCAAGCAGCGCAGTGGCTGGCTTGCACACTCACTAAGGACTCAATAACCCAGTATCTCCCTGCAAAAGTCTCTAGAAGAGCTAAATCCCATAATGGGCATTCTCAGGACATGCCTCCACACACCAACAGACGCAGGATCCCTATACAAAATGCTGAAAAGTAGGGCAAAAGAAAGTAGGGCAGCCTCTACTTTCTTTTAAATGAAGTTTTGACGTTTCTTTTTACCTGTTAGTCTAGTAATTAAGAGGATTTCCCCTGACATAGGAAATACAGATTCAAATAACAACTTTACTTAGGTGTATAAATCCCACATTTTCCAGCTTCTCAAGGAAAAGTCCTGAAGAGTGGGCTTTTGGTTCTTACAGAGACACAACTCAAAAGTAAAAGGAGCAAATCTGCATCCTCTGAGGCAGAGGAGCCAGCCAGAATGGCCTCTACTGAAACTTAAGTAAATAAATGCTCAAACTCCATGAGGAAAACACAACCTTAACTTGTACTCTGACCATGTTTGAGAAGAACAGAAAAGGTAGTACATGGGCCCATCCTCAGCATTTTCCTGGTGGGCTGCTATAGACAGATGTCAGGGTCCCACTCCTATTACCTCACTGACCCATTTTATCCAAGGCCAGAGGTTTAGAAAGCAAGATGGTGCAGAACTTCAAGGCACTTCCTAAGAGGTGATAATAGCATTAGAGAGATTATGAGAAACACTAAATCCAAGTTTACTATTTCTCCAATGGAGTCATAGTACAGAGGTTTTTAATGTACTTAGTACAATTTTTGAAAACAAGCTTTCCAGACCACCTGAAAGTGGCTTAACGGTCAGGTAAGAACTGTTACAGCTCTATGAAACTAAGAATCATCCACAATTTAGTCTAACCATGGTAGATTAATGCTGCACAGGTACAGAATCACTGGATTCTTGATTCAGTTACTATAATTTAGTGCTAAATTCTATTTTAGCATGAATGAATGAATTCCACTACAGTCAATGGAAGTGCCCATTTCACTAAGCAATTAAGGTAAGGGACTATAAAGCCCAATTCCTACACTCAAGGTACTACCTCACAAGCTGTCCTTTGCAGCATCTTTTCAATCCAGAATTTCTAAGCAAAGAGTCTTGCTATATGCAGCATAGACTTAAAGGAAAGTAGCGGGTGACAATAAACTTTTCTTCCAAATACAGCTTTCACAATCCCATACTTTGTCATCACTACTAAGAAAAGATTGCTTTGGAAATGCTGCTTTCTAATATTATTCGATATCACTTAATTTACAGCAATTTAAGTGAATTGAAGGGTAATTCAGTGACTTTTGCTTACACTTAGCTGTAGTGTCTGCAGTATAATTTAACATGAAGTAAAATTTATGCAATTTGTAAATGTTAACTCTATTTACTACATGATCGCTGCTAGGGAACACCACTGGCCATAATTTTCATTATCTTTACTCTGATTTGCCTTTGCAAATGTGTAATTGCTATGACTGTACAAGGAACAAAGAAAAACAAACAAAACAGTTTCTCTTACCTGGCAGTCTGCCCGCAGCAAGTGCATCCCCTGGTAAGTGTCCATTAACTCCATTGGTGGATGGGTTGTTCATCTGACCCAAGAGACCACTCCTCATTTCCAGATCTGTAGGATATGGCCTACGTGGGTCCCCTTTAAAAAAAAAAAAGAAAAGGAATGTTTTTAAATATTTAGCAATTGTCTTGCAGACATTAACTTTTTCTTCAGTGCCTAGTTTCCTGACCAAAGAAACCATACTCTGATTGATTAGATCAGCAATGAGCATCACATCTGTTTTGTTAAAATCCAAGTCTGTGCCTTTCACTGAAGACTTTTTTTGTTCATTCAGACCTGGCAAAAAAGCACATTAAAAAAGCCACAACAACAAAAAAAACCAAAAACAAAACAACCAAAAAAAACCCATGTTTAGAGGATATCTTTGCTTTCCCTGCTACTTCACAGCTAAACAGCAAGGGCAGGAATTGGAAAACAAAAACAAAAAACCTTCACTTTCTCATTTTGGGCAAGAAGGATAGTCCTGAAAATTGAAACCTGACATGATGGAAGCCCTGCTTCCGACTCTACTGATTACTAACATCCTCTGAAAAGAGTATTATAAGGGGCATAAGGGAAAATAACTAAGCACATGGAAAAGCCTTCAACATACTTGGTTCTAACTTACAATTGGGGCCAACATTCCACGGAAAAAAGCAAACAAAGAGCAGAGGAGAGCAGTCAGTTAATGGAATGTGAAGTTTCATAGCCTTTTGAAGATGTACATAACAAAGTCTACAGGACTTTGGATATCTATTTTCATTGAAAATATAAGCTACAAAAGGTGAAAACAATGTTATTCTAATAAACCCCGGTGTTTATCATTGTATAAAAGCATTGTAAGAAAAGGTATGCTTCATTATAAAAAAAACCTGTTGCCATAAACGTGATGGTTACCTGGTACCCATGTGAGAGGGGCACACACAGCATTGCTAGCACTGATCCTATGGGCATATTTAATTATTTCTTCAGAAGAAATGGCACCTGGAAGAATGGAAGAGAAGTTACTATATTCACAAGAGGCTGCATCATTTAATTATTTCAGAATACTGGGCATTAATAGCTAGAAGATTGGGAATGTAATTTTGTCAAACATTAAGAGCATGTTTCAAATGCAGTGACTACTTAGAGGATTCTTAGACCATGCAAGGCTGACCTTTACAGTGAACTGATTTTACAGCCACAAGTTCACTACCCTTTTAATGGCAACAGATCTTTAACGCTGTGAAAAACACAAACCAATCTCTTCAGCAGTGTACTTGACAAGCACAATTTGTAAGAAACTTTTAGCACCTGCTTTATTATGGAATTTTCTGTAGTAAAGAAATTTTTTGTTGGTTTAATAATTGTAGGGCATACATGTAGCAGCCCTTCTAAATATGTGCATGTATTACAGTAACATAAGCTTAATGAAATGCCTTGATTTTTTTAGATAAAAAAGGTGTAACAAGATGATGAAAGACACGTAAAAAAAACCAAACCCAAACATTAAGAAAATGCCTCCCCCAAAAAAACCCAAAGAAGTAAGTTTCACTTGGTAAGTGCCATAATGTCAGAAATTGTTACAGGTACAACCAGTACCACTAGCTAGCCAGTCTTTCAAATACAGTGCATGCATACACAAAGCATTCTCTTCCTTTCCTCAGCAAACCTGCTGAGGCAATTTGGTGAGAGGCAGCTGCGTAACCAGACAGACTATTATCAGTCCAAGAAGAGTGCTGAGACAGTTGAATTCAAGACATATTTGCCACCAAAAAAATACTAATTCCTGCCTTTATTCTGTTTATAGGTTCATAATGAAATGGAAATTTGTTTACACACAAAGCACCTGAAATCTGTAATAGTAGATGAAAATAAATAAAATAACACTAACTCAAGCTCATGAGCAACTTTGTTTACAATTGCATTTACCTAGGATGTATGATCATGGATACCCACCTTTTCTTGCTTTTTCAATTGATTTCAGCTTTTCCTTTGCTTGATAAACAGCTGTTGCCTAGTTGTAAAAAAAAAGAATAATAAAAAAATGAAACAAACCAAACCTTCAAAGCATTTTTAATTTCTAAACTACACAAAGTCAGCTTCATGAATAAAACCCTTGCGTTTAATTGCATTTTAAGAAAGAAACTGTTCAGTGAACATTTTCAAAATATACAGAAATAAAGTAGGTTTGGAAGAAAATTAGCATTATAAACCAAAACTGAATACCATGATAACTAAAGAGAATTTGACTACTGAAAAATAAAGCCAAACCACTAAGCTTTTATGAAGTTTTAAATATTTAAATCTTCTCAAACACAACACCACTTCCTCCAGAGCCACCTTTTCACAAGTAGATTCTCAAAAGCAAGCACATCATTATGAACTTACCAGTATGTGCTCTGCTTCTTTTAGTTGTTTCTGCAGCTGCTGAATATCATTATCCCTCTTTTCTACTACCTTTTCTAAAAGCTGCATTTCATGATGGATTTTCCCCTGATCAACTGCCAGCTTCATTAGCTCTTGAAACTCTCCATCTCTCTGAATCAGCAGTTCCAGGATCTATTGAACAAGAGTTTTGCAGAACTTTTAATTTAGCCAGAGTAACAATACACCCTCAATCAGGCTGTAAAGAAGAGCCACTGACATTCATAGAGTATTTCTGTTTGCATGAAAATGAAACAAAATTTCTTCCCTCTGTTTGCAAAAGCAGCCTAAGAAGCACACATCAAAATGAACAAACAAACAAGCAAACAACATGAGGACCAAGAATGCCTTTGTAGTGGGGCCAAAACCTAATCATCACCATTAGCTATGCTCAGCACAGACAAGAACAAAGGGAGAAAGAGAGTGGTGGTCGGGATATAGAAGCATTGTGCTTACACAAAGAAATACAGTTTAGAAAGTCAGCTTACCTGGGTCTCCTCTCCTGGTTGTGGAAGCTTCTGGTTTCTTGAAATTGCCAAAATTTCAATTAGCTCCCTGAAAGGAAAACTCAAAATTGGTGTTTGCACAATTTTCTAGGTCATTATTTGTAAATCACAAGTCATCCCCAAACTGTCAGTGTACTGATATCATTACAAGTATATGCATGGACTTGAGTATTTTATAGTACAGTGTTGGCAAGGATTTCTTAACTAAGAGTAATTCTATGAATAGTTTCATGATTGAAGCACATTTTCTTTGTTCTTTGAGCTCATGAAGCACTTGTACATTTATACTCAATAAATGTGCTGAGTTCCTGCCAAACTACGCAAGACAAACAGAAGCTGAAAGAAGAAGCAGCACAATAAGCCACATTCATATCCTACTTATACTGCCTTTGTTTGTTGTAAGAGGGTGTGAAAGTTGTCCTCACCATTTTAGTTCTCTGTTTTTTCTCCATTTTTTTTCCCAAACAGAGCAAGTTTCACACTTGGGCTTAGAGCAATTAAGTCTACACTTTCAAGCACCTAAAGAGTTTGCTGTGAAAGTACTTTTACTACAAGTATTTCTACAATAGTGTATTAGTTGTATATCAAACACATAGAAATACAATTTAAAAAGCTAATAATGTTCAGGTGCTTGGTTAGAAGTGCTTCTCAAACTAACATCTTGATCACACTTCCAGGTACCCATTTACTTTGTCACCATTCTGAAAAGCCATCAAGAACCTTGGAGGGAACTCACTAAGCAACAAGACCACAACATAAAAAGGCATTTCTGTAAACTCAGCAAACTTATTTGGCTTCTAATGGCATGAGTAACTGTCTATCTGAGGACACTGTCCTTGGAACAGATTCTCTGCTTGTTTCAGTGCAAACAGCTGAGTGGGATGTATGACTCATTCAGCACTGGGGCCAGAACCTTAAAATGAAAATAGGTGCTTGTTAAAATACCTGAAAAAGCACCTCACTACTAAAGCTCTGAGTAACTTGTTAGCCTATGTCTCTTGGTCACTCCTGAATACTAAAATGATTTTACACAGCTAGATAATAAAGAAAGTTGTCATTATCACTAAAGCTTTATTCTACCTTACCAACCACTGAGCAGTAGCAAACAAAATGTTATGAGTAGATCAGCTACCACCACCAAAGCTGGTGGCATGGAGGGTTGTAATTCTGCTATGTGTTAGCCAGAAAATACACAGACACAGATTCAAAACTATGCAAAGGCTACAGACTGTTGCTTAATGTTTGCCCATACCAGCAAACCAGTATCATGACTGGGAAAGGCCTAGCTCCACAGTGCTGCAACAGTTTGCTGGTCAATAGGCAGATTCACTAAATATTTTTGAGGGTTGCTCGGGATTCATTATTGTAGAATAGTCCAAATGGTCTAAACGGTCCCAAGATTAAAAAGAAAACCATTAAAAAAACACAAAAAACACAACAAATAAAGAGCAATGGGATTTTATTTCTTTCTCTACAAACACATGTTCTCTAGCAACCCATATGTCACAATAAAATCTAAACCTGAAAATAAAACTTATTAAGAAAACAAGATCAACTGACCAATGTATTTTCCTTGTTGTACCAGGGGTAATCATACAGAGTGAGCCAGCCGCATAAACAGTGTGGGTTATTCCATGTGAAAAAGTTTTCCTAAGCTCCTACTCCCTCGAGAGGAGGAAAATGACTAGGAAACAGTTTAATTGCACTCTACAACAAACACGGTGGTCAGCCTGGGGGAGGGTCATCGGACCGGCCTCAAAGAGCATGGAAAAAGTATCTGAAAATTACTCCAAAGGCAAGCTCTGCAGCCTACTTTAACACTAATGCTGGCAATGACCAGAACGGCTTGAGTCATGCAACACCATCTACAAATTTCTGAGTTAAACATAATTTTTAGTGACTAATAAAAAGCCTAAAATCTAAGGGGGAAGGGGAGGGAGATGTGCGCATGCAAGCATTTCCCAGGAAACGCAGATTGTCAAGCAAGACAGCAAATTAGGTGGTAGAATGCTCTAAGAATAACAGCATGCTCTCCTGCTCTAAGAAATAAGGCACTCTGGGGTAAAAGCTGCGGAGGAGAACACAGTGCCGGACCAACTCCCTCCCCTCCCGCAGGAGCCGGCCTGGGGACTGCAGGAGAGCCTGGAAGCGTGTGCACACGGGCCTGGCGCTGCTCTCGCCCCGCACACCAGCGAGAGGTCGGGTCAGGCCGGGCAGGGCCAAATCGATTCTACTCGATTCCCCCAGCCCAACCCCAGGGACACCCGCTCCTCCCGCCGCCCTCATCGGAGGCTCCACGGACGCTCAGCGACGAGCTCCGTCACCTCACCTCACCTCACCCCACCCCCGGCGCCCAGCCGCCACCCGGGGCCCTCCCATCCGAACACAGGGGCACAGCGCGGTACCTGGCCAAGAGCTCGAGATCCTCCAGCGCCGCCAGAAGCCGCTCCCGGGTGCTGCTGCGCTCCCCTCCACCACCCCCAGCCGCCGCAGCCGAGGCCGCCGCCATCACGACCCCTGTCACGAGCCCGACCCAGAACCACTTCCTCAGCTGCGGCGCCAGGCCGCGAGGGCGCCAGGCCGGCCAGCACCCCCGTGCGGCCAGGCTGCGAACGGCAGCCGGTGGCGGCTGACGCATGCGCAGGTGGGCCCGGCAGTTGCAGGGTGGTTCCTCCCTCAGCCCGGGCGGGAATGGCAGTGGGCTCGCCTGAGGCCCTGGAGGAGGAAGGTCGGGTGGCAGTGGGGACACGGGACGTGCATGTCGCACAGAGCCGTGGGTGTGCGGGGAAAGGAGGTCACATCTCCCTCAGTGAGGCCAGATGCGTTCTTGTGAAAGCCCCCTCCTGGAGCTGGGTCGTTACACAGCAGGGGTCTGCACTTGTTGCTGTTCTGGATGCATATCCAGTCCCCGGATTTCCACAGAAGAGCCTCTAAATGAGATTCAGATGTACGCTAAAAACACAGAAAACTAAACGGCAGGAAAAAAGGGTTTGTGACTAAATTGAGTCTGAAGTTTTTTAACTTAAATTTTGACAGCCATGATAGACCAGTGTCCCTCAGGTGCTTTTTATCAGAAGGAGGATGAACTACCAGCTAAAGAAAGTTAGTGAAAATGTAATAAAACCCCGGAGCTTTAAATGAGCACCAATAGCTGTGATCTAGGCTCCGTTTCCCACTGGTGACAGGAGCCATGACCTGCCTGACACGCTGATGCTGTGACTGCAGACGTGTCCAGCTGTGGAGGCTAAAGGCAGCTTTGCATCCACTACAGAGGCCTGCACACGGTGATGGGGCAGGTAACGGATGCAAATCCTGCCAGAGTTTCAGCTTTAGCTAAAAAGTACCATGTTTTTCTTGTTAATGTTGCTGTCTATGGGCTGGCGCTGTAAACAGGCCTCTAACCCTGGGTGGGGTCACAGAGAAGCCAGTGGAATTTTTTATGTTCATGAAGGTTTCAGTAATGTGAAGAGGTTCGGAGAGAAGCCAGGGTGAGGGCAGATGAGGGAGCACAAAGGAAAACTAATCTGGGGCCAGGGTTTATAACCAGGGCAATCACTTCCACAGAAGGGCGATGAGTCCCCAGATCCCATGTCCTGCTGCCGGCAGGCGGCTGCAAAACCTGCCAGCAAACAGCAATTCTCTCCTGATTAGAGCAAGCACTAGATGAATGATAACACCCCGCCGACTGCGCTGGTATTTACCCCGATTATCTTTTTACCCTCTGCAAAGTATGTCCCTGAGAAATTTACGCTTCTTTAAAAAAAAAAAAAAAAAGAAAAGGCAAGAAACTCATTAGCTGGTGATTCTTTTAATTGTGGTTTAAAGAAATGATTCAGCACAATGAGATTTATGATAAAGCAATGTGATTTGGCAGCCCTGAGAAGATAACTCTGCCAACAGGAGTTACTTAAAATTCATTTACAATATACAACAACCTTCAGCGTTCTGATTGTAGATAGTTTGTGAATTCTGTTTAAACTACATAACAGATAACATATCATCAAATAATCCTGCCCTTTAAATAACTTTTGGTTGCTTTTTTGTTTGTTTTTCCCCTATGTTTCTGTGATTTTGTTCAAAGAAAGATGTAATTGGTGATACTGTCTGGTTGTGCATCCAGTTCACTGATTTGTGTCTGTATGGGTGCATAAACAGAAAGAAATAGCAATTTTGAAAACAAAGCCGTCCTTCCTTTATATCATTTTCTTCCTCATATCCATGTTGACATCTGAATTATCTAGACCTGCAAGTACTTCTGATATATTCTGGGGCCGTAATACTACCAGATCAGGGTGAGGAAGTTGATGAGGCCTTCTACAGGCAGCTGAGAGCGGCCTCACAGTCACAGGCCGTGGTCATCGTGGGGGATTTTAACTTCCCTGATGTTTGCTGGAAGGACCACTCAGCAACCCAGCCACAGTCCAGGAGGTTCCTCCAGTGTATGGATGATAACTTCCTCCTGCAAATGGTGGATGAGCCAACCAGGAGAGGAGCGCTGCTGGATCTCATCCTCACTAACAAGGAGGGTCTGGTCGAAGCAGTAAGGGTTGAGGGCTGCCTTGGTTGCAGCAACCATGAGATGGTGGACTTCAGGATCTTGTGTGGTAGGACTAGTAGAATACCAAGTAGAATTGCAACCCTGGACTTTAGCAGGGCAAACTTTGGCCTTTTCAAGCAATTGCTAGGGGAAATCCCATGGGCAAGGCTGTTTGAAGGTAAAGGGGCCCAAGATAGTTGGCTGGCATTCAAGGATTGCTTTTTCCGAGCTCAAGATCGGAGCATCCTGACACGTAGGAAGTCAAGGAAGAGGGCCAGGAGACCTGCGTGGCTAAATAGGGAATTGCTGGGTATGCTCAAGTGGAAGAGGAGAGTTTACAGGTCATGGAAGGAGGGGCTGGCCACTTGGGAGGAATATAAGGCTGCTGCTAGAGGATGTAGGAAGGCAGCTAGGATGACTAAGGCCTCCTTAGAATTAAACCTGGCGAGAGGGGTCAAGGACAGCAGAAAGAGCTTTTTCAAATACATGGCAGATAGAACTAACACCAGAGGCAACGTAGGCCCACTGATGAACAGGATGGGTGCCCTGGTGACAGAAGATACAGAGATGGCAGAGTTACCGAATGCCTTCTTTGTCTCTGTCTACTCTGCTGCAGGCAGTCCTGAAGAGCCCTGTACCCCTGAGACCTTAGATGAAGTCAGGTCAACGGAGCAGTTTGCCTTAGTCGATGAGGAATGGGTTAGAGACCAGTTGAGCAATCTGGACATCCATAAATCCATGGGTCCAGATGGGATGCACCCGCAGGTGCTGAGGGAACTGGCGGAAGTCATTGCTAGACCGCTCTCCATCATCTTTCCCAAGTCTTGGGAAACGGGAGAGGTGCCTGAGGACTGGAGGAAAGCAAATGTCACTCCAGTCTTCAAAAAGGGCAAGAAGGAGGACCCGGGTAACTATAGACTGGTCAGCCTCACCTCCATCCCTGGGAAAGTGATGGAACACCTTATCCTTGGTGCCATCTTAAGGCATATCAAGGATAAGAGGGTTATGAGGGGCAGCCCACATGGCTTCGCCAAGGGGAAATCATGTTTGACCAATCTCTTAGCCTTTTATGAGGAAATAACAGGGTGGATGGATGATGGCAGAGCGGTGGATGTGGTCTACCTTGACTTCAGCAAAGCATTTGACACAGTCTCCCACAGCATCCTCACAGCTAAATTGAGGAAGTGTGGTCTGGATGATCAGGTAGTGAGGTGGACTGCGAACTGGCTGAAGGAGAGAAGCCAGAGAGTTGTAGTCTATGGGGCTGAGTCTAGTTGGAGGCCTGTAACTAGTGGAGTGCCTCAAGGGTCAGTACTGGGATCAGTATTATTTAATATATTCATCAGTGATTTAGATGAGGGAATTGAGTGTACTATCAGCAAGTTTGCTGATGACACTAAGCTGGGAGGAGTGGCTGACACGCCAGAAGGCTGTGCTGCCATCCAGCAAGACCTGGACAGGCTGGAGAGTTGGGCAGGGAATAACTTGATGAAATATAACAAGGGAAAGTGTAGAGTCCTGCATCTGGGCAGGAACAACCCCAGGTTCCAGTATAGGTTGGGAAACGACCTGTTAGCAGTGTAGGGGAGAGGGACCTGGGGGTCCTAGTGGACGACAGGATGACCATGAGCCAACACTGTACCCTTGTGGCCAAGAAGGCCAATGGCATCCTGGGGTGTATTAGAAGGGGGGTGGTCAGTAGGTCGAGAGAGGTCCTCCTTCCCCTCTACTCTGCCCTGGTGAGACCGCATCTGGAATATTGTGTCCAGTTCTGGGGCCCTCAGTTCAAGAAGGACAGGGACCTGCTGGAGAGAGTCCAGCACAGGGCAACGAAGATGATTAAGGGAGTGGAGCATCTCCCTTATGAGGAAAGACTGAGGGAGCTGGGTCTCTATAGTTTGGAGAAGAGGAGACTGAGGGGTGACCTTATTAGTGTATATAAATATCTAAAGGGGGAGTGTCACGAGGATGGAGCCAGGCTCTACTCAGTGGCAAACAATGATAGGACAAGGGGTAATGGGTACAAACTGGAACACAAGAGGTTCCACTTAAACTTGAGAAGAAACTTCTTCTCAGTGAGGGTGACGGAGCACTGGAACAGGCTGCCCAGGGAGGTTGTGGAGTTTCCTTCCCTGGAGACATTCAAAACCCGCCTGGACACATTCCTGTGTAACATTATCTAGGTGTTCCTGCTCCGGCAGGGGGATTGGGCTAGATGATCTTTTGAGGTCCCTTCCAATCTCTAGCATACTGTGATACTGTGATACTAGTTCTGCTAGAGCTAAAAGCTTGCGGTGTTAATAGTACACCCAGACTTGACTGGCCAAGGAGTGAATATTGGATGTGGGAGGGTCCTGTAGGCTGATTTTTCCCTCTTACTGTGCCTAGGGGCCTGTTCCCTCCCTTCTTAGTGACAGCAGTACTGCTCCCACCCAACCAGGCCAATACTGCCAATCCTTCACTGGAGCAGCCACCCTTCTCTCCCCACTTGTCAAAGTGCTGCCCCTCTTCCAATCAGTGTGCTTGGTACTGCCCAGTCATAGAATCACAGAATCATGGAATCACAGAATGGTTTGAATTGGAAAGGACCTTAAAGAACATCCAGTTCCAACCCCCTTGCCATGGACAGGGACACCTTCCACTAGACCAGGTTACTCAAAGCCCTATCCAGCCTGGTCTAGAACATTTCCAGGGATGGGGCATCCACAGCTTCTCTGGGCAACCTGTGCCTGTGTCTCACCACCCTCACAATAAAGAACTTCTTCCTTTTATCTAGTCTGAATCTATGTTTTTTAGTTTAAAACTATTGCCCTTTGTCCTGTCACTATAGGCCTTCACAAAAAGTCTGTCATCTTTCTTTTAAGCCCACTTTAAGTACTGAAAGCCTGTTACAAGGTCTCTCCAGAGCCTTCTCCAGGCTGAGCAAGCCCAGCTCTCTCTGCCTGTCTTCATAGGAGAGGTACTGCATCCCTCTGAGCATCTTCATGGCCTCCTCTGGGCCCTTTCC